AACGAGCGAAGGTGCTTGTGAGCCCACAGCCACAATTCCTCTGCCGCCCGGTGGAGGGCAGGTGACCTGACCCCCCCCTGGCGATTTATGTGAGCTACTGTGGTCCGGTTGTCTGACCAGACCAGCACATCGCGACCCCGAAGAGTAGGCGCGAAGTGGGTCAGAACCAGTCGAACCGTTTCCAACTCCAAGAGGTTTATGTGACGACCTGATTGAGGCCATACACCTCCTATCGCTTGAGTCTGACATGTCCCTCCCCATCCAGTCAGAGAAGCATCTGTAAATACTGGGATGTAGGATGACACCTTGCCCATCGGGACTCCGTGCGTGAGAACGCTCGGATTCCTCCAATAGTCCAGGTCTGCTCTTAGCGAGAGAGGAACCACCACCAACCGATGACGTTGACGCACTGGGTCTAGTCTTAGTTGGGCGAACCATCGCTGTATTCTGCGCATGTGCAGGAGTCCCAGCGGTACCACAGAGTGGGCTGACGACATGAGACCCAAAAGTGACATGATCGACAGCGCCGTCACTGTGTGATTCGGACGACACTTCCTCAGGGCTAGCAACAATGCTACCCTTCGAGGGTCCGAAATTCGAGCCCTCATCATTACAGTGTCTAGCTGTAGCCCCAGGTAGACAATCTGATGACTGGGCCAGGGTGCGCTCTTTTTCCAATTCACAGCGAACCCCAGACGCGTGAGATGAATCACTGTCTGTGTTGTGTGAGTGAACGCCAGCTCTGCTGAGGGGGCGAGAACCAGTAGGTCGTCTAGGTAGGCTAATAGCCTTATCCCTTGACGACGCAGCGGTTCCAATGCCGCCTCCACACATTTGGAAAACGTTCGAGGTGCCAGGGCGTACCCGAATGGCATCCTCGTGAACTCGTACGCCACCCCTTGAAAGGCGAACCGCAGAAACTTCCTGTGACGCGATTGTATCGGCACATGGAAGTACGCGTCCTTTAGGTCTATGCTTGTACAAAAGTCTCCTTTCTGGACACATTCCAGTAGACGTTTTGTCGTCAGCATTCGGAAGGGCCGTTTGGTTATGCTCTCGTTGAGAGTGCGCAAATCCAAAATCGGCCTCACTCCCCCAGTCTTTTTGGGCACTAGGAAATAAGGCGAATATAGCCCTTTGTTCCTTTGCTCCCGGGGAACTACTGTGACCGCCTCCTTCGCCAAAAGTTCCGTAATCTCTGACATCAGAGCGGCCACTTTGTCCGGCGTTTTCATCACCGTCTCCACCACTCCCCTGAACGGGGGTGGGGTTCGATGGAATTGGAGGGCATAACCCTTCTGCAACGTCTGTTCTAGCCAGCGTGAGAGGGTACAGCTTCGTTGCCACTGCCAGCAATGCAGAGAAAGCGGGCGCGCACGAAGCTGTGGTGCATCCAGTAGGAAGGACCTGTATTCCTCTATGGCCCTCGCCGCCGCTATTCCCCAGCACTGGGTTGGTGGAATAGCCCAAGGCGGGCCCCCCTCGAAAGGGAGAGGAAACATCAGCTCGTTCTGAGAGAATCGGAGGCCTTGATACGTCAGTTACGTCTGTAACTCCAGTATTCCGGCCCTCCGTGAACGCAGCACGGTTTTGAGCTGCACTGACTGAGGTATTAACCTGAGACAGAGCGCCCTCCCCGGATAGCAATTGCGTCATCATGTCATTGCCTGACTGAGACTGCTGCTTGTCATGAGATCCGTCCACTGCAGTACTCAACAGAGTCTGGAAAGTGTGGTCTCTAACTGGTACCACAAGGTGGCGCCACAATACCTCTTTTTCACTGGTCTCATGAGGCTGCTCAACAGCACACTCTAGGTGTGGTGAGCTGCACTCAGAGTAGTGGGCATTGTTACGTTCTGAATTAACCGGGGGCGCCCATACATTGGTTACACCTGTAACTCTAGTATTCTGGCCCTCCGTGAACGTCGCACGGGTCTGAACTGCGCTGGCTGAGGCGTTAGCCTGAAGCAAGGCGTCATTCCCAGCTAGCGGCTGCGTCTTCATGTCATATTTAGACTGAGACAGCTGCCTGCTATGTGAGACCTTTACTACAGAGCTCCTAGGAGTCTGTAGTAAAATATCTTTATTAGGTGAGCTAAGGCTACGCCTTGCTACCTTTTTCCCTTTCCTCTCCTGAGTGTGTTCAACTACGCACCCTTGGTGGGTTGAGCTACACTCAGGATGGTGAGAGAAATTCATAGGACGTGAAGTACTCTGCAATGTGTCATGGAAGAAAGGCTCTTTTGTGACAATGTCAGTGAGAGCCAGCTCTTTATTCACATAACAACAATAAACATTTCCCTCCATGCCCTGAACAGTGGGGTGGGGGGGAACAGTGGGCTCTGTCGCGTCCAGCGCCGAGCCGTCAACCGTCCTCTCCCCCTCGTCCCGTCATTGACGCCGTCGTTTCTGGCTGACCTTCTGGTGTTGCCAGGACGGTTTCGTGACGACCTCTCTCGCCGGCGGAATCGTCGCCACCACCGTCGTTGCTGGAGGGGCCGAGCCCGCTCGCCTGCTGTCGGTGGTAGGCGCCTGTCGCCTGGCCCGTCACCTCCCTGTAGTTCTACTGGGGGCGTTCGAGGTTGACGGGTTAGTTGAGGCCCTGCTAAACTTGCCTGCCAATGGCAGGTGTTTAGCCAGGTGCTTTCTCTCCTCGTCAAGCTTACCAAAGCGTTCCGTCGCCTCCTTAACGGCGACCCCAAAGAGGCCCTCGCTAGAGACGGGAGCGTTTAGTAGCGAGGCTCTGTCCGTCTCCTTCATGGCTGTCATTGACAGCCAGAGGTGACGTTCCATGACCACCGAGGTGGCCATGGACCGGCCTGCGCATATCGCTGACGCTTGTGTCAAATGAAGAATAGCGCCAGAAATCCTGGACGCCTCTTCAATCTCCTCGCTGGTTAACTCAGACCTACCCGTTGTTAGACGGGATAGGGAGGCTGCGAGGAGGGCAATGTTATTAGCCGCTGACACAGCCTGGGCTCCCAGCGTTAAATACTTCTCAGCCAGCTGTGCTGTGAGTCTGTCTTTTTGTGCTGGCAAGGTGGCTTTCTTGGAGGCCGCCCAGGGACTCGAACCCGGCACTAGATACGCCGCCATGGTGCTCTCGAGCCTAGGGATTCCCTTAGCAGCCCACTCACGTCCAGCCACTCTCGTGAATGGGGTGTACACCTTGGCCGGCGAACGCGCCGCCAGGGGTGTATCCCACGAGCCCTCGACATATTTTCCGAGGGAAGGCATAGCAGGAGCCATCGGCTCAGCTGCCTTCCTCGGTCTAGAGTAGGGGCCGCCCTCCATCATGTCGACCTCCACAGGGGGGGAGCAGGGGGCAGCGCTATCTCTAGTCGGTTGGCGGCTCTCTCAATGAGTTCGGGAAAGTCCGCACGCAGAGAGGCCGCTGCGAAGGACAGGGCTGCTGACGTAACAGAGCCCGTGTCGTCATCGCACAAGGAGCCTTCAGATCTCGCACGCCCCATAGGGAAGGGGGTCTTGAAGGTTGGCGCCAGAGGGTCGGATTGTTGCATTGGAACATCCATCTCCGCGTCTCTCTCCTTGTCATCCCCTGAGCCAGCACTGTCCGACGACGCCTCTGAAGCAGAGGCGAGAAGAGAGTACATCCTCTAGGGGGATATCCTCCCTAAAAAACACCCAACGCTGCTTCCTCACCTTCATAGGAAGGAGGGCGCAGGAGGCGCAATTAGGGGGATTGCCGGTCCCTTCCTTGGCATGCTGCGGCCCCAAACACACGAAACAAAGGTCGTGGGGGTCCGCAGATGCCATGGAGGAGCATCGGCACTGAGCCCTGAAAAGGGCTTTTGGGGGTGGAAAATCTCCTGGCGTGCTCATTTTAGAAGACGTCGATGGCTGGCTCATCGACGGCGATTTCTTCCTGAGTCTTCTCTTCTTCAGTCTAGTCCAGTCGCTGAAGATAATGGGAGGCTGATTGAGGGGAAGTGTCCCCTCTTATAGGGACACCTGTGCTCCCATTGGCTGCAGGTGTGTGCATAATTTTGCTTCAGGCTGTTGCTGCCTTAGGGCAGAGGGTAAACCACTAGGAGCAGAGCTCCCCTATGGGGCGGCGCTCCACGATATAGAACCAGGCTCGGAGGGGTGGCCAGTCCTCTACTGGCTGGAGATTAGAGTACATGGCCATTAAGGCCAGGTCGTTCAAGAGGTTCGTAGATTAACAGCAGGGATAAATAAATGGCTGCAGAGGGTGCAACAGGTCAGCACCTCAGGAGTAAAATGTCATTTGGCTTGTCATAGCCAAGCATGGAGGTCGCGAGTAGAAAACAGCAGGTCCGGGACAAGGTAGAACGTCCATAGCCGCAGGCAGAACAGTTTAAACTAGTCTAATACATTTGGCTCTAATAAGTACATCTTGTACACACGTCTATACCCAGTGACAGAGTTCGGAAACGCTACGAAAAACCACCAGCCGCTGCCCCACTACTTGGTATACAGGGAACGGATGGGGTAAGGAAATATAGCCCGTCACAATTCACAGACAGCGCTCTGACATCCACATTATAATTTGACTTACTTTAAAGCTATACACACAGTTCGTTTATGTTCATGGAGTACGACAACTTTTTGGGTCACTATTTAATTAGGCAAGTCAGTTAAGAACAAAGTCTTATTTACAACGACGCTGGGCCAATTGTGCGCCGCCCTATGGGACTCCCAGTCACGGCCGGATTGTGATACAGCCTGGAATCAATCCAGGGTCTGTGGTGACGCCTCTAGCACTGAGATTTAATGCCTTAGACCGCTGCGCCACTCAGGAGCCCCATAACTGAATAATATTCTTCAAGAAACAAAGTGAATAAATTATGGTAATATTATTCATGTTTAATAACGACTCATGAGATATAATGCGTACACCCATTTTATTGACAAACCACAAAATAATTACGCAACATTTACAGCAACAAATCTCCAAAGTAATTGACTAACATGAAACATTTTCAGTTAGAATGCTGACACCGGAGTAGCACTTGGTTTCAAGTGATAGTTTGATGGATTAAACAGGTTCTTATGGAGCACACCGAGGGATAGCGCCTTCCACATGATTCAGCTTGCCAGCCGTTTTCATCTTAAGAGGAAACACGGAATAGAAATGACCTCACAACTCCGATGTACACACACAAATAGTAAAGTGTCATATTTGTTAAACTTACTATGAAAGTTTAATTTGATGAATGATAGTGGGCTTACTGTACCTCCAGAGTTCATCTGAATACATGGCTCTCTGGCACCCCTCGTGTTACTCGGCTCGTCTTCCGCCCAGTTCTCGTGATCAAATTTGGAGCCGTCACTCCAGAACCATAGCCTGTCCTGCGGGGGAAGTGGTGAGGTCTCAGTATCACATAGATGGGCTTGCTGAAAGCAAGAACAATTTCTAAAATCCAACATACTCAGGGTCTTTCCTTCACCTGTAGCACCAAACCCGTAAAAGCTACCACTACCAAAACAACTTCAAAAACCATGCAGACTGGCACTGTTGCGTGAAAATAAGTGTTGATACTACATACTTTTCAAATTACAACCACGGTGATACAAAGCCCAATGCATTTCAGTGGCCATAGACTTGAACGAGAAGAAAACTAGTATACAACCGACTCTGCATTAGGACGAAACAGCGCCACCCCACCACCGTTATTGTTTGTTGCGGAGCTGAGGAGTGTCGCGCCGCGTGGTTTATTTTATTTATTTTGGTTAAAAAAAAAAGTTGTAACTTTTGTTACATATCGCAAACAGACGAGTCACCATTAAGGATTCCAGATTTTAAAAACGCCATACAAACGGGCAGATCAGTCTGGAATAGGTTGCCTTGTGATCCCATTTACACTTTGAACTATAATGCTTTTACATTTGCATATAAGATCCATAGGCTTAAATGGGAAGTATTTGGATTAGCCACTGCTCTTGAACGGTTTACGCAACAAACGCCAACATGGAAATGTACAAACTCACTCAACTTAGATTGAGTCACAGCGGTCTGCTACCATTCATACTTAAACTAGAAAGCTTGTTCCATCCCGTCATTACATGCTAAACTGAAATCACTGTCACAGAACTTTCAAACTAAAACATTGAAATTAAAAAACGCGTTGTATAGCTTATGATGCTTAATATACACACTTAAAAACCTAACTTCAGACATGAGCAAACATCCAGTTTATGTGTCCAACTCATTTAACAAAAATGTCAGATACAACCTTAGTCCCAAGGTCTCGAAAATAGAAAAAAGGAAGCTAGTCAGTTTCTGCGCCATTGCAAAGAGGAAGAGGCGAAGCGAGAGGCATAACTGAGCCCAAAATCTGTTCTCAAGCAGGTGGAGTTTTCCCCGGTCACCAAGCAAGTCGTTTTTGTATGGCGGTCAATAAGATGTCGAATTTTGTTAACAAAAAGTGTAATCGCTTATTTGAGTGAATATACGTTTTGTAATGCTTAGGTTGTTACGAGAGTACTGATACATGTAGAACACATGACATCCCGGCAATTTTGAGAAAAACATTTATATCAGAGGTGTGCCTGTCACTCGAATCTGCCCTCATAGGCTAGAATGGTCCCACCTGATCTTCCATTTAAGACTTCTTTACATTGTTAGAGCGGCCAATGGAGTATCTGGTCAATATAATGGATCATCTGTGGCAATACAGGCAATTGCTCTAGAGTTGTTCAAATAATATTTCTAGATGATCAACTCAAATCTAGACCTACACGCAACAGTATTTTTCGCTTTTGACAATGATTTCACACGAGGCCTTAGTCACATGATATGCCTAAATACTTACAACCACTAGGCTAATAAATAATGACGTTTTTCTTTCGATTATTTCATTAACCTACATCATGTCAATATCACGTTGATAAAAAAGATGCCCAAATTGGGTGTGCCTATACATTGGGCCATTTAAAGCATCTAGGGGCCGTGTTAACTTCAGTAGTATTTGGTAAACATGATAGCCCTTTCAAATATAGGCAAGTAATGTCATGCCTACTGTGCCAAAGCAATTTAAAAATTGTTTAACGGGAGTGGCGAGTGTGGATATAATGGTAATATCAAAATTCCGCTTTTGACAGCCATCATACTCTATGAGTCAGCGCAAAATAGGTTATGCACGCCAACATATTAGGTAAGAATAAGCAAAGAGAGTGTCAAGCGAAAATTATATAAAACATTTTACCACTGCAACATTTAATTTAGTCTGAAGAGTGCTATTTAGAGTCCACAGCTGGCGACGCCTTATTGCGATTGGTTATTCCCCATTATTTGCAGTACCTCAGACTGTTATCATTACCAGCTGAGAAACTGTTGAGCTGATTTTACTCCTGGCACAGAGTTGTCTGAGCAGTGTCTTAACATCCTAAAACCTACTTCCAGCTGATTGTTTTGAGACTAATAAACCAGTTAACAGGATTCGACATATTGATGAGTATACTCAAGATCTTACCTATGAATATACTCTAGCTGAACTGTTCAGGTAGAGTATAACTTTCACTTCAGTCATTTCTATTAAGTATGACAATACCGTACCTTTTCCTGAACAGCATCAAAGCCGCCAATCCAGGTAAGAGGGAAACTGCCAGTCTTGATCAACACCAGCGCCTGCAGAAATGTGGACTCGTCGGAGCTGTGCACAGATGCCAGGTTTGCGCCAAGGTACTTTACAGTGTTATGCACAGGCTTCAGTTTTTCTCCAAGGAACATACAGTGGCGCTAGAGCAAGCAGTAGACAGAGACAAAGGCATGTCATAATGGAAGTATTAGTCAGTTGTGCAGTCTGAGAATTTGTCTTCTGGACTCACAATCAAAATATTGGCCATCGGAACTAATGTTCCATTAAAAACAGAATCTTAGAGGTTTTAGTTAGTCTGTCTTAACCCATGCCCTGAGGGTTCTAATATACTAGAGGGCCCAACGCCACAAAATATTGCAAAGCCTATAGAAAATACAAATTACAGAATAATAAGATGTTCAGTATTTTACATGAGGGGCCGGTTAAAATAAGGCCAAACAACATTTAAGGTAACTTCAAACAAAAAAGTTGATTTTAATTGAACTTTAATTCACAGTAGAGGGTAAGCATTATACCTCTGCTTTGGGCCATGTCCTTGCAGTTTCGACAAACATGAAGCAGCGGGAATTAAATTGGAACCAGCCTGTGGGGCATGGGTTTCTTTTGTCTGCTGCAAGTTTCACCAAATCATCTGAAAGAAGAAGACCGGGCATGTCCCGAAATTGCAGCCAATTTGAATCATAAATAACTACTGAATATTATTAGTAAGTAAGTCAATCCACACTACAACAAAACAAATAATTGAATGACGTAAAGCACAAACTCATTCCACAGAGTGTCTACAGGTTCACTCCTCCCTTGATGGGTTTAGGTCACTAACTAGTAAAGAAGGCCCTTACCTGGTTGTCTAAGTCTTCATTGAAAGGAAGACCAAAAACCTGCAGATACTAGGCACTCCGTGGAATGAGTGACACCCCTGATGTAAAGTGTGAGGCTGACTCTTACTTGCGTAGCTCGCAGTCATTATTCTGTTGTCGCCCAGTGTAGAGGCAGCGCTGAGAAGCAGAAGAATGGTCAACGTCGCCATGGTGATAGTCTCCTGAGAGAGAAGACAGACAATGAGAGAAGCCATCAAGACAAATTCAGTGCAGCGTTTCCCTAACCTCTCGTAACCCAGCAAGGCCACATCATGTATTCCAGTACCATCACAGTCAACTAATGGATGGTTAAGGAATACCAGGTATCATCTCTTCCACCACATACAGTAGATTAGCCTGGCACAAAGGAATGTTTGACTCCTAAATGGCACCATACTCCGCTAGTGCACTACATAGGGGGGGTACACACCCTAAAATGGCACCCTACCTAACCCAGTTCAAACCCTGATGCGTGACACCTAGTAAGACACATTTTTGCAAAGGCAATTAGCTTGTAAAGTAGGTTCTTCTAGAGCAGGAGACTAAACTCTCCTAGCATGAGCTACTTTCCAAAAAATTTAACATGTGGCGAGCTACTTTCAAATAGGCACAGTCTCTCCCCTGCAACGCTTCCGGGTCTTTGGTGTACAAGAGAAAGTAATGCACCGTTCTGTCAAGATACCTGCTAAAAATTATGGTTAACTACTAAGGGGGCCCTATAAAAACTGTGATCCCCGCCACAAATTACAGACATTTTCCCAAATGTTCTCAGTTGAATTTTCTGGTTTCCCACTCAATTACAATTGTTCATTAAGAACGAAATGTGATGTCCATGCTTTATTCACATCAGAATACCATTTGTTTTTGGTCTGGAAGAAATGTAAACACATTTGGATTTGCGTAATTCTCCTTTAAATTGCACCATATAGCTAGTTATTAATCAATGTGTGGTCTAATGTGCCAGTCTAGCGATGGTTCTGTTCTGCTGATGCTCGTTTCATGGCAAAGTCTCCAAATAAATCGATACAAATTATATACGTCGGCCAGGTAAGTATACTTTGCAGTTAACCTTGAAGTAAATGTTTTCGGGAAACAAGCTGTCAACCCACAAGACGGTTATCACCTCAACTGGCTACACAGAGTGATCGAAAAACGCGCACCACACAGACGGCCAATATTGTTGGAAATTAATTGGCAGATGGCTTAAAAAGCCACATTTAACACTAATAGTGGCTAACCAGGAGCGGGATAATGTCAAGTCGCGTTGATTAGGTAGTAGCTGGGAACTTGCAGTGTCTGATACTTGTGAGATTTGTTTGCCGTTGAAAACGTGAAAATTGCATGTACTTTCAGAATTGTTTGACAAACTACTCATAGTTGGGCTGCGAGCTACTGCGACCTGTTGGAGACCCCTGCCCTATATAATGCACTACATTTGATCAGGATCACATATGCCTAATGGGCCCTGGTCAAAAGTAGTGCACTACATAGGGAACCATTTGGGATGAAAGTAGATACAGTACTAGATGAATATGTTGAACTCACCTTCTGCGATCTTGATGTTTCAGCGGTTTTCACTGGGTCGCTTTGTCCCGTCTGTGAGTTGAATTCTACCTCTCCCTGCTCTCCTTTTTTAAGGAGGAACCATCCAGTCAGACCCCTCCCTCTCTCATCCTTTAACCGATTAAAGTAATCAACTAATCATCAAGCTTTTATGATTTGAATCAGCTGTGTAGTGTTAGGGGAAAACCAAAACGTGCACCCCTTGGGCATAGCCACGGGAAGTAGTTTGGTGGTGCAGCATATTTTTTATAGAAATGTATTTTCAAAGGGGGTGCTGAAAAAATATATTTGCCTGTGCTACACATGCTATATTGGTCCACTATTATAGCACTATTAAAGGCCCCGTGCATTACTTTTGTGAAAATGTTAAAAATTAAATACATTCTTCCCGCGACTATTGCCCTTGTGGTTTCCATTTTAAAAAAGCATATATATATATATTTTTTTTACTAATTCATGGGTTGCACGACATTATTGTTATGAAGATTCTCTTGCGCACTGGTGCCCGACTAAACGTTGTACTTAATTCTACCTAATTGAAACTGATAAAGATTGTCCAAAGTGGATTATAGTGGCTTGGAAATTATGGCATTTCAGAAGGAAACAAATAATTAGTAGGAAAACTTTTGTCATCATTGTGATGTCGTTAGATTGACTTCAGATGCAGTATAACTACTGAACAAAAATATAAAAGCAACATGTAAAGTGTTGGTCCCATGTTTCATGAGCTGAAATAAAAGATCCCAGACATTTTCCATACACACAAAAAGCTTATTTCTCTCAAATTGTGTGCACAAATTTGTTTACATCCCTGTTAGTGAGCATTTCTCCTTTGCCAAGATAATCCATCCACCTGACAGGTGCGGTATATCAATAAGCTGATTAAACAGCGTGATCATTACACAGGTGCACCTTGTGCTGGGGACAATAAAAGGCCCAATGCCACAGATGTCTCTAGTTTTGAGGGAGCGCGCAATTGGCACGCTGACTGCAGGAATGTCCACCAGAGCTGTTGCCAGATAATTTAATGTTAATTTAAAGCTGCCTCCAACGTCGTTTTAGAGAATATGGCAGTATGTCCAACCGGCCTCACAACCGCAGACCACGTGTAACCACCCCAGCCCAGGACCTCCACATCCGTCTTCTTCACCTGCGGGATCGTCTGAGACCAGCCACCCGGACAGCTGATGAAACTGTGGGTTTGCACAACCAAAGACTTTCTGCACAAACTGTCAGAAACCGTCTCAGGGAAGCTCATCTGCATGCTCGTCGTCCTTACCAGGGTCTTAACCTGACTGCAGTTCGGCGTCGTAACCGACTTCAGTGGGCAAATGCTCACCTTCAATGGTCACTGGCATGCGGGAGAAGTGTGCTCTTCACGGAAGAATCCTGGTTTCAACTGTACCGGGCAGATGGCAGACAGAGTGTATGGCGTTGTGTGGGCGAGTGGTTTGCTGATGTCAACAGAGTGCCCATGTTGTGGTTATGGTATGGGCAGGCATAAGCTACGGTCAATGAACACAATTGCATTTTATCGATGGCAATTTGAATGCAAAGAGATACCGTGACGAGATCCTGAGGCCCATTGTCGTGCCCATCATCCGCCGCCATCACCTCATGTTTCAGCATGATAATGCACGGCCCCATGTCACAAGGATCTGTACACAATTCCTGGAAGCTGAAAATGTCCCAGTTCTTCCATGGCCTGCATACAACCAGACATGTCACCAGTGCTGGACTTTCGGCAGGAGCTCACTGGAGCTGAGTAGTGGCACCTCAAATGTTCTACTGCTTGAGCTCCTATTCCTCTTATAGAATATTAGCTAAAAAGTATTGTGGCGCTCCCGCACCTAAATATAAACCGTAAAATAGCACCCAAAATGAGTACCGGCACCTATTTCAGTTCAAGTCAAGCGCTGCATGTCACCACCCATTGAGCATGTTCGGGATGCTCTGGATCAACGTGTACGACAGTGTGTTCCAGTTCCCGCCAATATCCAGCAACTTCGCACAGCCATTGAAGAGGAGTGGGACAACATTCCACAGGCCACAATTAACAGCCTGATCAACTCTATGAGGCAAATGGTGGTCACACCAGATACTGACTGGTTTTCTGATCCACGCCCCTACCTATAAAAAAAGTTATCTGTGACCAACAGATGCATATCTGTATTCCCAGTCATATGAAATCCATAGATTTAGGGCCTAATTAATGTATTTAAATTGACTGATTTCCTTATATGAACTGTAACTCAGTAAAATCTTTGAACTTGTTGCATGTTGCGTTTTATAATTTTGTTCAGTGTACATGCAGTGTACATCCACCCAAATGTCTGCAGGCCCACCCACCAACGAATTTCTGTCTACACAACTGAAACTGGTAACTTGCCCATATGGTTTAAGTTGGCACTGGAAGAAAGGAAAGGGGCTGGCAATGTGTTTTCAAACTAAGGTAGGATTCATTAAAGCCTAATCTCTTTTTCTGGTGCTCCTAACTTTTAAAGTTGGGAGCACCAGTGCTACCAATGAAAATGTGAATAGTCTACAGTTAAATCTAGCCCATTGTTTTGACTGTCAGTACATTAGTAGCCCTGGTGAATGAGAGCAACAGTTCAATCCAGAGCCAGCTAGGTAAATAAGAGCTGTTATTAAATAAACTGTGGTAAAAATCAGATGTATCCAAACATTCTATTTAGTGTTCTGTAAAATATTGCCATAGAGCTCGCCAGCGTATAGTCCTAAAATCCGGAAATAAGTTACCTCTGGTTCCGTTCAGCCATCCCTATGGAAAGAAATGAATGGGAAAGAATAGGGTTTTGGAATAAATTACGAAAATAACATCTGAGTTTAACACAGGTTTAGGAGATTCTATACGTTTTTTTCTATAAGATAATAGCAGTGTTAACATGACCCTTATGAATTATGAATCCTGTATGTGATTTGTGGTTTTTGTTATTACATAAATTCTTTAAAATTCACAAAAAGTGACGTTGGCTGATGAAGATTCTCGTAAAACGAAAGGTATACGATCTCATAAGCCTGTGTTCACATACCTTATTTTCTGCGTTTATCCAAAAACACCATTCATTTTCCCCATAGGCTTTGTCCAACGAACCATGGCGGAGTCAGTGCTTGCAAAAAGACGCCAATACTAATTCGCTCTATAAATAGTAGCCTACATTTCCAATGCAGTGTTTTGTATTGCTACAGTTTGGGCAGTATCAGAGGGAAAGAGAGAGGATGAGATCTAGTATGAGGGAGAAGGGGATACAGTAAATTAGTTTAAAGAGTATATTGAGTAGAACGTCATTAGATATAGTCTCAAATATTGTATCTTTTTTAGGAGCTACGGGGCTGGTAGGTAGGATTTAGATTCTCCCTGTCTCTGGCCCACACTCCAGTACAGTACGTGGCGGTATTGCACCATAACGTTGGATGCCAACCGCCGATAAACCCCACTGAAGAAGAACAATGCAGTGTTTTCTTCTCCTTTACAACCACTAGATGGCCTCCAACATCATCAGAAAACATATGAACTATTTATAAATGTTAAACTATTTAGTGTGTACTGTGAACATGGGATGGATGAGATCATTACAGAATGTTTGGTCTACTCTTTAAACGTATTTTTCACTTTGTTGTCAGTAACCTATTGGTTTTAATGTACGGTATCAAAAAGGTTCAATATAAATTCATTATAACATGTTTTTATGTGTCGTTTTGTGCAGTGCATTGCTGTCCAGAGTCATACAATTGTAGAGAAATTAGACTTGTCTTCAATTTACAGTAATCTGTAAAGCTCCTCCCATGTGTAGTTTTTTTTTTTCTTCTCCTGTAGTGTTCAGTTGGAGAGGACGAGTGCTTGGTCGACATTTTAGTACTGCATCATCAAGACTGACGTGGGGTCTACGTGGGCAGAGGCTCGAGCCATCCACTCCTACCATAATTAGTGACGAGTCTGACTACGTAAAACTTTGGTAAGTTATTACACGGTAGACTAGTCGTGGGACTCGGTCACAAAAAAAGAGACAACAAAACAGAAAGTTCACCGTTTACAATGACGAATGGACAAACTTTCAATTTGGCAGTTGAATCTACTGGCTAATGACTATGTTAGCTAAAGCTAGTTGCTAGCTCTGGTTACGTGGACAATCTCCTTCCTGTGTGTTAGCCAGCTGAACAACTTTATGCACAGACACGAATGGTACAGTTAGTTTGCTTGCTAACTAACTGGCATATAAAGACAGAGTGAATTGGCTTGCCAGCCAGCGTCCGTATTACTTTTAGAAAGCTAGCAGCTGCCTGCTACTAGCTAGTTACATGATAAATAATGTTAGCTATCCACCTTTCATGCTTTTCGGTGTAAGTCGCAATTTCTCTCGAGCGTTTGTCTTCAGCTGCATAAATGACGCAACTCGATTCGCGTTCGCTTTCTGGAAAGGTAGTTAGCCAGCTAACGAAAAAAAAATTTGCTCTGTTAATAAATGTACCAAAAGTCTATCTTGTTTAAGTGCTGAGTATGGTACAGATTTTATAAACTAGCTCGCTACAAACTAGCAATTTCAGAGTGACAGCTTCTAGACCCCTCCCCTTTCGAATTCAGACAGGCGGGCGGCTGTCTTTGTTCCATGGGAGTTACACCGTGTTCAAAAGAACTGGGAAATATCCAACTTTCGACATAAGTGTGGGTGGGTGGGTCATCCAACTCGGAAACTCGGTTATCTTACTAGTGTTCCGACCTGAAGATAACTGACGTCATGATTTAACCTAGTTTTTTTTTCTTCCGATTTCCCAGTTGACATGAAAGCACCATTAGAAAAGGGAAAACATGAATCAAGTAAACGCAACAATCACATTTAACACAATGTTTGATTGAGTACATTAATTTGAATTAAATCAAACGTTTGAAATGTGTTCCATGTAATGCATTGTCACTGAATGGGTTCGTTCTGTAGTGACAGTAGGCGACTTGTAACTTAATCAAAAGCCCTCGAATTGATGGTATATGTCCTCCAACATGTAAAGACACTAAAGGCATTGCTTGCATTTCTTTTAAACATGGATCCCAGTTTAATCAATATGTTTACAGCACAGGAGGACACTAACACAAACTAATGTGCTAACAGTTCTTGTATGGCAGCCCAGTCAACCAGCACTGTTTTGAGTTATCAGGCAGTTGTTCAGTACATATGACAACATTACTTGCTTTAATCTAATGATATAATATTGAAATAGTCTTAGACTTACACTACCGGTCAAAAGTTTTAGAACACCTACTCATTCAAGGGTTTTTATACATTGTAGAATAAAAGTGAAGACATAAACTATGAAATAACACACATGAAATCATGTAGTAACCAAAAAAGTGTTAAACAGATGAAAATATATTTGATATTTGATATTCTTCAAATAGACACCCTTTGCCTTGATGACAGCTTTGCACACTCTTGGCATTCTCTCAACCAGCTTCATCTGGAATGCTTTTCCAACGGTCTTGAAGGAGTTCCCACACACGCTGAGCACTTGTTGGCTGCTTTTCCTTCACTCTGCGGTCCGACTCATCCCAAACCATCTCAATTTGGTTGAGGTCGGGGGATTGTAGAGGCCGGGTCATCTGATGCAGCACTCCATCACTCTCCTCCTTGGTAAAATAGCCTTTACACAGCCTGGAGGTGTGTTGGGTCATTGTCCTGTTGAAAAACAAATTATAGATCCACTAAGCCCAAACCAGATAGGATAGCGTATCGCTACAGAATGCTGTGGTAGCCATGCTGGTTAAGTGTGCCTTGAATTCTAAATAAATCACAGACAGTGTCACCAGCAATGCACCCCCACACCATAACACCTCCTCCTCCATGCTTTACGGTGGGAAATACACATGCAGAGATCATCCGTTCACCCACACCGCGTCTCACAAAGACACAGCGGTTGGAACCAAATATCTCCAATTTGGACTCCAGACCTAAGGACAGATTTCCACCGGTCTAATATCCATTGCTCGTGTTTCTTGGCCCAAGCAAGTCTTCTTCTTATTGGTGTCCTTTAGTAGTGGTTTCTTTGCAGCAATTCAACCATGAAGGCCTGATTCACACAGTCTCCTCTGAACAGTTGATGTTGAGATGTGTCTGTTAATTGAACTCTGTGAAGTATATATTTGGGCTGCGATTTCTGAGGCTGGTAACTCTAATGAACTTATCCTCTGCAGCAGAGGTAACTCTGGGTCTTCCATTCTCGTGGTGGTCCGCATGAGAGCCAGTTTCATCATAGTGCTTGATGGTTTTTGCGACTGCACTTGAAGAAACTTTCAAAGTTCTTGAAATGTTCTGTATAGACTGACCTTCATGTCTTAAAGTAATGATGGACTGTAGTTGCTCTTTGCTTATTTGAGCTGTTCTTGCCATAAAATGGACTTGGTCTTTTACAAAATAGGGCTATCTTCTGTATACCCCCCTACCTTGACACAACACCACTGATTGGCTCAAACGCATTAAGAAGGAAAGAAATTCCACAAATTGACTTTTAAGAAGGAACACCTGTTAATTGAAATGCATTCCACGTAACTACCTCATGAAGCTGGTTGAGAGAATGCCAAGAGTGTGCAAAGCTGTCATCAAGGCAAAGGGTGGCTATTTGAACAATCTCAAATATAAAATATATTTTGATTTGTTTAACACTTTTTTTTTTGGGTTACTACATGATTCCATGTGTTATTTCATAGTTTTGATGTCTTCACTATTACTCTACAATGTAGAAAATAAAGGAAAACCCTTGAATGAGTAGGTGTTCTAAAACTTTTGACTGGTAGTGTACATTTTCCCAAAGGGAGTATAATTTGTTCTTATCTAATCATCTATTGGGGTGGCTTTTTGTGTGCTTTTCAGCAGCCTTGGCATCACTCAGGTGCGTGCTACATGTTTGGCAATGCTCCAAAACACTCCAAACCAACTCCTATTACAGAGTCCCATTGTTAATGATGTCTCTGCACAAGTGAAGAGTGATTAGTGCTTTTTGGGGTTTTCGGTTCGATGACAAAAAAATAATCACGTTTTTTGGTTTTGATTGATTTTTTTACGTGGATTGAATGCTGGAACAACACAGAATAAAACAAGTCCCATGATTGTAGTGACTGCCCATTACTGCTTGTCACTTATTAACCATAATTTTATTCACTTTAATAAAATATTTCAGTGGTGTATATTACATTTGTTTTATTTGATGACTTTTATTCCAAGTCATCATCTCTATAGAGCTACTGCCTATGGTGTCAGACCAAATCACTATTTTAGTAGTTCTTCAAAGTAAATAAGGCATATTTTTATGACTGCTGAATACCAACTATCAATCACTTAGATCATGTATTTTCAGGTAAAGATACCTCTCGAAGCAACTGCTCTCTATCCCTCTCGATCGCGCGTTCTCTCTCCGTGTCTGCTCCACAGATTTATCTCTAAAGAAACTGTGCATCGAGCTCACAGAAAAAAATTAATGAAATGGAATTAAAATAATTGAACCTACGTTGGTCAATTAGTTGTTTAAAAACAGAAAAATAAACTACATTTCAGTTAATCACTCAGCACTACCCTGCACTCAGTTTTAGATTTGTTTTCCCACTGTCCCATAAATCCATATTTGCATCTTTTTGTTGTTGTAGTTGTAAACAGTATCATTCAAATATGGATTTATGGCACAGTGGATTCTTTTATAATTATTATTGAGTGTAGAGACATAATTTAGAATGGGATTCTGATGTAATATGAGTTGGTGTGGAGTGTTTTGTAATATGGTTTAATGCATTATAGTCAATTGCAAGTGATGACTCAACAAAATGTGACAACCCAATTTCCTCTGTAATGATACAAAATAGAATAAAATAAAAACGATTTGGGGGATCAACTACAAACTACAGGAAGAGTGAAAATAAGGACACATGAAAAAAAATGTGTACTTCCCCTTCAATTGTGCTACATTTCCTGACATTTCCAGTCCGATGACCATGAACACAGCGGTTGCGTCATCACAGCAGGATGGAAGTGTTGATGACTCTCTGTCTGATGAAGAACCAAGTCAGAGTGAATCCAACTCACCCACTGCTGTACTTACTCAGGTAGCACCTTTGTGAAGTGTGTGTGTGTTGTGGCCACTATCACTCATCATCACTCTTATATTCAGAGATGCATCAGGGTCTAAAAAGCCTGGTCCCAGACCTGTTTGTGCTCTTGCCAACTCCATTTCGCATTGTCAAGCCAAACACAACAATAAATGACAGAGTTGGCATGATAGCACAAACAAGATCATTTAGACACACTGATGCTGGAGTATCCTTTTCTCAAATATTGTTTAAATGGCTAGTAAAACAATTGAACGTCTCTTGTCTTTCTCCAGGTTTCAGGAACAGGAGACTCCGCTGGCATGACAGTGGTGCAGTTACCTGGTGGGCAGACAGTTCAGGTCCAGGGTGTCATCCAGGCTCCTCAGGCCTCTGTCATCCAGTCACCACAGATGCAGACTGTACAGGTAGCTACTAGAGCTCCATCCCTTCCCTATACCCTCAGGTTGTGTCCCAAATTGCACCTTATTCCATATAGATCACTACTTTTGAAAGTAGTGGTCTATAAGTGTCATTGGAGATGCAGCCTCAAGGGTCACTCTAGTCTTGGCTCAATACAGTAAATCAGTAGTTGCTTTTTCCCCATAGAACAATTCCAGAATGGTTTTGGGTCGCAAGAGCACAAACATATCTGGGGCCAGGCTAGTACTTTCTGATGTTGTGTACCAGTGATCCCAAGGATGTAACAAAGGGTATCTTCACATCTACAGGTGCGATTGTTCTGGCTCTAATGCAGCACTCTCTCTTAATTGGCTTTGTCTGAGAAATGGGATCTGTGATTTAAGCTAATCAGTTCAACCTTCATGCACCGGATGTTGTATTGTGTCTGCCAGTCTCTTAGACAACATGCTGTCTGCTTGCATTAGACAAATCAGCACATGATGTCACGCTCGTTTTCCATTTTCCTCTAAATCACACTCACCAACAAAGAATGAGTGGTGCACTACCTTTGACAAGGGCCCTGTGCATAAGGCAATAGGGTGCTATTTGGGACACAACCTGAGATTTATACTGTTTGGGAATTACTTTTATTTTTCAGTATTCAGTAAGGTATTTTAAAATGGAGGGAGGTGGCCTTACACAGGGACCGTGTCTATGCATTACTTTCAGACTTCATTGTTTTTTTCCTTTTCCAGATCACCTCTGTAGCTGGGCTTGAAGGTGGGGAGTCGGCAGTCACAGACACACAGAAAAGAAGAGAGATTCTCTCAAGACGCCCATCTTATCGGTAGGCAGACTTGAAAACATTGCAAATATAAAAATTGAATGTGTCCCAAAGGACACCTTATTCCCTATATAGTGCATTACTTTTGACCGGAGACCTATGGGCCCTGGTTAAAAGTAGTGCACTACAAAGGGAACATGGCGTAAGTTTATATATTTGGGGCGGCAGGTAGTCTAACGGTTAGGAGTGTTAGGCCAGTAACCAAAAGGTCGCTGGTTGAAATACCCAAGCTGACTAGGTGAAAAATATGTCGATGTGCTCTTGAGCAAGGCACTTAACAGTAATTGCTCCTGTAAGTCGCTCTGGATAAGAGTCTGCTAAATGACTAAAATGGATTTATATAACCATTGACGTTTCAAAGCAATCCAAGCAGAGTAGTTTATTACGTGCTTTCCTCTTTACTTCAGAAAAATCCTCAATGAACTATCATCGGATTCCTCCTCAATTCCGAGAATTGAGGAGGAGAAACCTGAAGATGAGTCTCCACCCTCCAGTGTCCCTTCAGTTCAAGTGCCAACTTCAATCTATCAGACCAGCTGCGGCCAATACAGTGAGTTTCATTAGGCTCTGGTCAAAAGTGGTGCACTATACAGCCCGACCAAGCAAAAGAGCTGCTCATAGAGTGAAACTGAGAAAAATGACTTCAATGTTTTTTTTATTGTCCAACCAAATGAATTGTAGGCAGATTTTTATTTAATGTATAAAAATAACTCATTTTTGACCAAATGTGCAGTTACTGTTCTTTTGCTTTGGTAGGGCAGTATACAGGGAATAGGTTGCCGTAGTTGGGACGTAACTATGGTGAGAATGTTGACATGCACTCACTATTGTGACATTAATTTCTATATCCAGTTTGTGTTATTGTGTAAGAGATCTTAAACTGAGGATTCATTGTGGAGGCTACATTTCCCAGGTTACAGTTGTGCATCAATAAGCCAGTGACCCAACCTTATCAACCATAAAGTACAGCACTTTTCTATATTTGAAGAAAACATCTAATCTAATAGATCAGAAGGTGCTGCTTAGAAATGGCTGATAACAGTAATGAGCTATTTATAGCAGTGTTCAAAAATGCAGAACTACATGCGACTTTTGTCCCTCGTTGACAAAATAAAAATAACTCCCGCCCTCAGAGACCTTTTTCAATACAAAATTAGATTCACACAAACATCCACAAATACCTCTGAGTAACCCTTCACTTCTAAAAATGTGTGTCCCTCCTCAGTTGCCATCACCCAGGGGGGAGCCATCCAGATAGCCAGCCCAGGCAGTGAGGACCTGCAGGGTCTACAGTCGCTGGCCATGTCCAACTCTGGTTCCCCGCAGATCCTGCAATACGCAGCCCAGGCAGGGGACTCTGGACAGCAGTTCTTCTCTGTGCAAGGTGGCCAGGTGGTGATACAAGGTAAGAACTGTACTGAACCCTTTACACTCGTGGGAATTGGCCTATATGGATACGGCTAAATTAAAATGTTTCTTACAGAAGAAATATGAAAGCAAATACATAAGCATGGTAACTATTGAAAGGGAACAGTTTGTAGATTATGGGAAAATTATTAGACCAAAGTTGAGGACACAACAGTTTACCTGACACAAGACTGAATCCAAACATTACACTGTTGATTTTATGTGCATTTTACATTTACTGTACTTTTCACCGTATTTGTTGATAAAGAAATCTGAAAATACTCTGGATACATTCAGTAACATGATAAGAATATTCCTGGAAAATGTGGGTTAGGCACAACATAGGACACAAAAATTACATGGGTTTGAGTGAGAGGACTAACTTGTGTCTCCAAGTGGCCACACACCTCCAAAGTGTGCACAGTTCCTAAGTAATTTCAATGCACTTTTATGACTCAATGCACTCTTCAACTATAAGGTGCTTTTGAGCTCTCCTAGCTGTGCCATTGAGGAACTAGAGCAAGGACACTTGTAGTTGTTTTGTTTGGAACACAACGCTGCATCCCCGGCCATCACACAATTACTGTTGTTGTTTACGCAATTCAAAAACACAATCTGGGTCAGGTGGGCATCATTGGAAATTGTTCTATTGCCAACATGGCTATCTAAATTATCAAATAAATCTCAGTGTTAGGCTTTCACAAGGCAATTCAGAGAAACGGATCGTCATTTTGGTGTGCATAGAAAAGAGTCATGAGTCCGTTCAGGTGCGTGTTCCGCGGCAAACTTTCTTCACAACAGACAAACAGGCTCATTCTGTTGAGAACAACCCAGGGTATGACGCCATGTCATCTAGTAACTGTATATGAAACATAGTGATCATAAACGTTGACACTGTATATGACATTAGTATTATGATATGGACATGTGAAGTGCACATTCAGACTCACGGGTGTTTGGCTTGCTTGTATGACATCAAAGTGGTATTTATTATAATCCTCAACGTCTCATCTTCCAAAATTCATCGAGCCCTTTTCATTTAAAGCATTTCCCTCACTCAGACAACAAAAAATTAGCGAAAGTTGCCCAATTAGCGGGAGGGATGGGGGACAACTACTTGTTACGCGAGGTGCTCAGGTTCAGAACGGTTGTCAGTCAAAACCCATACAGCGCTGTGAAGCGCAGAGCCAGAGGTCCGACATCATTTATAGCATGTTAATGTACAGCCACTGCGTTTCAATGTAGGCGCTTATCAGTGCCCAAATCTGCCTTTTTCAACCCGTACACGGGTACGAGTGTAAAGGGCTACATGAACTCCAATTTCTCTATGACCCAAATGGCACGCTATTCCCTACATCAGGATGTTTTTCCATTCCTTAATTGTCCAGTGTTGGCGATCACCTGCCCACTGGAGCCGCTTCTTCTTGTTTTTAGCTAATAGGAGTGGAACCCGGTAACAAAATTAAAGTAACTTGGAGCTGATTTGCTGGTGTTTTCAGTCTTTTATGTCCAAAAAATTGCTCAGAACTTGGGGACCCAAATAAAATCACCTAAAAGCCAAATTCGGCCTGCGGGCCGCCAGTTGGGGAACCCTGCCCTATATAGTGCAATACTTTTGACCAGGGCCCATAGGTAATAGGGTTCACATTTTGGATGCAGTCTCCATTTTATAACCATCTGGTCTTTCTGTCCTTAGGCTTCCTAGTTATTTCATTAGATTACATTGAAATAGTGTGATTCATTAAGTCATGGGTTTGTATTCATTTAGCAGATGAACAGAAGAAAGCTCTCTAAGTGGCTGGAGTATGACTAGTATTTCTCAAAAAAATGTCAAGCATGGTTGGTTGACCCTGTAATGTTACTTACAGTACCATGCAGACTAGTTCATCAGAGCAATGTAATGGTTTCCCTGCATTTCAAGTTTTTCTGAGTCCAATGACTGTCTCAAACATTTCCCTCTTATAATTACAAATGCTCCCTATTAGGGTACTTCTTTACAGCTGAACTTATTTACTTATTTTCCAGAGAAACGGATGAAAAAGCTTAAAAATCATATAATCCTAACAAGTAGTAAAAGCCAATCCCAAAGGAGTGCTTCAATCAGGGTGCTCACATTAGTACTGCTGCTGCCATTTGGGCACACTATCCTCCTGTTTGTTCTACGTCGCCTAGTTGCGTCATAGGGTCTAAAAATATCCTGCTAGCCCTCCCTCCCTCCCTGCGTCTTTCCCTCCCTCCCCCCTTGCCTCGCTGCATTGTGTTGCTCCACTTTAGCATTTGATCCAGGAGAAGAGCAGGGGGAGGGGCCTAGAGGCAGAATGTCTTATTGACTTCAGCAGGGCCAGTGATGTCATTGTGATGTCAATGTCACTAATTGTAATTTTGTGCAAAGTTGATTGTGACCACTCCATGTAGAGAGCAGGCAGAGCGAGACACACACAGGCAGATAGAAAGAAAGACAGTCAGATAAAGAGAGAAAAAAGTGTGTGGTTCTGTTGAGCCTGTGTTTTGGAGTAGAATATATGGCTGTTACTGGAGATGAGACTGAATCAGGTATGTAACTATATTTTAAGTGTTTCTCAGTCTTGGATTGTTATAGAACATGTAATGTTGCATGCTGGCAGTAATTGAAAATGTATAGCTGCATTGTTGTACAATTCAGATATATATCTGCATTGTCTATTTAGAGGGCTAAATACATTATTTTTATACATTTGTTTTTGTGAGGAATTACTTTAAAGTTGGGTTGGTTAAATGTCTTTACAGAACTTTTACGCGTTGATAAAAAAAAAATGTATGTAGGCTACCAAAGTTACCAGTTCGCTTGGAATCCTCAAAAGTCTTCAGAGTATTTTCTCAAGATACTGAGTGTGTTTAAGAGAACAGAGAAAACCAATAGCAAACTGAAAGACGTGCACTGACTAACTAATTGAGGGTTAATAGCTAGCTACTACAGAGGCATCTTGCCCACAGTTCTTTCTGAGACTTGAACACGTTACAAGAGTACTGTATAATTACCATTCAGCATTCCTGTAGTGAAAAGCTAGACATAACTGTTGACCGAACAAGGCGGTAAGTGTTTGGTTAGCTTGCTCAATCCGCCGATACCTGTCTGCCTGCCCCCTGAAACGCTCAAACAGAACGCTTCTCTGGATCAGCAAGGGAGAGGGGGAGGGGTGGTGGATGTGCGTTAACGTCACTCCAGTTTCCTGGAAGCAGATCTGGCCAGGGAAATGAAAATGCTAAGCGTCGAGTGAGACACACATTGACGTCAGCAGGGAGTCATGCTGTGATTAGGCTACACACAGAACAGAACAGAGCCCTCTGAGAACAGTGCTAGAGCAGTGAGCACAGCATTGGCGATACCAGTTTAGTAATCCACTCAGATGACGACAGAGAGAGAAGAGCTCAGCCTGGTGTAGCCCCTCAGATCTGCAAGCTAATGCTTGCTCATTCGTGCATTAAAACACTAGTGCAGTGGTAGCATTTGGGCTATTATCAATTCATAAATGTTACCCAAAAAATGTTTTTTTTAATGTATTCCTACCCCTTGACTCTAAGAGCTTTGCACACCTGGATTGTACAATATTTGCACATTATTCAAGCTCTGTCAAGTTGGTTGTTGATCATTGCTATAGAGCCATTTCCAAGCCTTGCCATAGATTTTCAAGCCAATTTAAGTCAAAACTGTAACTAGGCCTCTCAGGAACATTCAATATCGTCTTGGTAAGCAACTCCAGTGTAGATTTGGCCTTATGTTTTAGGCTATTGTCCTGCTGAAAGGTGAATATGTCTCCCAGTGTCTTGGAAAGCAGACTGAACCAGGTTTTCCTTTAGGATTTTGCCTGTGCTTAGCTCTATTCCGTGTCTTTTTACCCTAAAAAACTCCCTAGTCCTTGCCTATGACAGCATACCCATAACATGATGCAGCCACCACCATGCTTGAAAATATAAAGAGTGGTATTCAGTGTTGTGTTGGATTTGCCCTAAACATAACACTTTGTATTCAGGACAAAGTTAATTTCTTTGCCACATTTTTTTGCTGTTTTTCATGTTTTGAAATATTTGTATTCTTTACAGGCTTCCTTCTTTTCACTCTGCCATTTAGTTTAGTATTGTGGAAGTAACTACAATGTTGTGATCCATCCTCAGTTTTCTCATATCATAGCCATTAAACTCTGTAACTGTTTTAAAGTCACCATTGGCCTCATGGTGAAATCCCTGAGCGGTTTCCTTCCTCTCCGGCAACTCAGTTAGGAAGGACGCCTGTATCTTTGTAGTGACTGGGTGTATTGATACACCATCCAAAGTGTAATTAATAACTTCACCATGCTCAAAGGGATATTCAATGTCTACTTTTTTTTTTACCCATCTACCAATAAGTGCCACCCTTGGAGGCATTGGAAAACCTCTCTGGTCTTTGTGGTTGAATCTGTGTTTGAAATTCACTGCTGGACTGAGGGACCTTACAGATAATTGTATGTGTGGGGTACAGAGATGAGGTAGTCATTGAAAAATTATGTTAAACACTATTATTGCACACAGAGTGAGTCCATGCAACTTATGTGACTTGTTAAGCAAATTTTTACTCCTGAACTTATTTAGGCTTTCCATAACGAAGGGGTTGAATACTTATTGACTGAAGACATTTTAGCTTTATATTTTTAAATAATTTGTAAATATTTCTGAAAACACAATTCGACTTTGACATTATGGGGTATTGTGTGTAGTAGGACAGTGACACAAAATCTCTATTTAATCAATTTTAAATTCAGGCTGTAACACAACAGAATGTGGAAAAAGTCAAGGGGTGTGAATACTTTCTGAAGGCACTGTAAGGATGATGATAGTTTGTGACAAACATCTTAGTTTTTTGTCTCCTGTAGTTCCTTTGCAGTTACTATTAGAAGACATTAGAAAGGTATTTATCAACATACCAGCGATCAGATCAGAATCACATCATTTCTACACCGAGGAGCACATTGGAAATAAGTGTATTTAACACTTTGATGTGTTATTCTCAGCCCCCCCCAAAAAATGCACTTATTTTTTATTTTTTACCGGTACAGGCTAGAAATGTAGATTGGGAGATAGATTAGAGGGATAAAGTATAGAAAGTGAGTCGGGGAACGGGGGATCGAACCGCTGCTCTCCAGGGGCATATGTGGACCGGGGGCGGCAGTACCACCACTAGACTACCCCCTGGCATCTTCTGGGATTTCTTTGTACTTTGAAATTGTTTTTAATAAATAATTAATCATCACCAAATAATGTAGGCTGAAAATGTAGGCTACTACAGTGGGGGAAAAAAGTATTTAGTCAGCCACCAATTGTGCAAGTTCTCCCATTTAAAAAGATGAGAGGCCTGTAATTTTCATCATAGGTACACGTCAACTATGACAGACAAATTGAGAATTTTTTTCTCCAGAAAATCACATTGTAGGATTTTTAATGAATTTATTTGCAAATTATGGTGGAAAATAAGTATTTGGTCACCTACAAACAAGCAAGATTTCTGGCTCTCACAGACCTGTAACTTCTTCTTTAAGAGGCTCCTCTGTCCTCCACTCGTTACCTGTAAAATGGCACCTGTTTGAACTTGTTATCAGTATAAAAGACACCTGTCCACAACCTCAAACAGTCACACTCCAAACTCCACTATGGCCAAGACCAAAGAGCTGTCAAAGGACACCAGAAACAAAATTGTAGACCTCCACCAGGCTGGGAAGACTGAATCTGCAATAGGTAAGCAGCTTGGTTTGAAGAAATCAACTGTGGGAGCAATTATTAGGAAATGGAAGACATACAAGACCACTGATAATCTCCCTCGATCTGGGGCTCCACGCAAGATCTCACACCGTGGGGTCAAAATGATCACAAGAACGGTGAGCAAAAATCCCAGAACCACATGGGGGGACCTAGTGAATGACCTGCAGAGAGCTGGGACCAAAGTAACAAAGCCTACCATCAGTAACACACTACGCCGCCAGGGACTCAAATCATGCAGTGCCAGACGTGTCCCCCTGCTTAAGCCAGTAAATGTCCAGGCCCGTCTGAAGTTTGCTAGAGTGCATTTGGATGATCCAGAAGAGGATTGGGAGAATGTCAGATGAAACCAAAATAGAACTTTTTGGTAAAAACTCAACTCGTCGTGTTTGGAGGACATAAAATGCTGAGTTGCATCCAAAGAACACCATACCTACTGTGAAGCATGGGGGTGGAAACATCATGCTTTGGGGCTGTTTTTCTGCAAAGGGACCAGGACGACTGATCCGTGTAAAGGAAAGAATGAATGGGGCCATGTATCGTGAGATTTTGAGTGAAAACCTCCTTCCATCAGCAAGGGCATTGAAGATGAAACGTGGCTGGGTCTTTCAGCATGACAATGATCCCAAACACACCGCCCGGGCAACGAAGGAGTGGCTTCGTAAGACGCATTTCAAGGTCCTGGAGTGGCCTAGCCAGTCTCCAGATCTCAACCCCATAGAAAATCTTTGGAGGGAGTTGAAAGTCCGTGTTGCCCAGCGACAGCCCCAAAACATCACTGCTCTAGAGGAGATCTGCATGGAGGAATGGGCCAAAATACCAGCAACAGTGTGTGAAAACCTTGTGAAGACTTACAGAAAACGTTTGACCTGTGTCATTGCCAACAAGGGGTATATAACAAAGTATTGAGAAACTTTTGTTATTGACCAAATACTTATTTTCCACCATAATTTGCAAATAAATTCATTAAAAAATCCTACAATGTGATTTTCCTGGAGAAAAAATTTTTCTCATTTTGTCTGTAATAGTTGACGTGTACCTATGATGAAAATTACAGGCCTCTGTCATATTTTTAAGTGGGAGAACTTGCACAATTGGTGGCTGACTAAACACTTTTTTTCCCCACTGTACCAGTGAGGCTGTCTTTTCTCTTTTTACTTTTGATGGCAGTTATCTACCCAGTAACCAGATAATGACAATGGTTTTAACATAATTGTAGTAATTAACCCCCCCATCCCCTATAAAGCTAATATCCTCTCTATTCTGTAATGTCAATGTGCACGTTGATAATCTGATAAAGACAAGAGCACTGGTTACATAAGCTTCTTGTTCTGAGGTTTTTTATGACATCAACCAATCATTGAAATGGTTTTTAATTGAGTTAGGCCTATTTTGTTGGGCAAGGTGATTGTCTATCAATCCTGGTTGTCGGTGTTAAGTCACAGGCCATTGGTTAATCTGTTGTTACAGGGGGGTCAAAGGTGAGGGTTCCTGGCTCTAGTCACAGATCACGCTCTGTATGCATCCCAAATGGCACCATATTCCCTTTACAGTGCACTACTTTTGACCGGGCCCAGAGGGAATAGAGTGCCGTTTGGGACGCATCCTCTCACTCTCCCAGTCCAGATTTGACAGAACTATTCAAACCACACAAACGCTGGGTCTGTGATCTGTGTTTAGGCCTACAGTACTCTCCCTAATTTGGCAACTGTGCTGTGATCTTAAATCTGGCTGTAGAAAAATAACATCATTTTAAATTAGGTTTGTTTTGCTTAATTCACTTTTGTCTGTTGGAATCTGGGCTTGTCTGGTGGTTTAACAGAAAAAGCAGTAAACAAGTGGTCAATTGTTGTTGTTTTTTGCCGTTAAATGAATTCCCATCTACTTTATTTGTATTCATTGTTTATGTCTAATTTACGGTTGCTTATCCTGTAAATAGATAGAAGATGAGAAATATTTGTGATTGAAGGGCTTGAGTTGAAAAATACAGCACTTGGTTTTCCCCCAGGAAGCTAAATACAGGTGGTCATTGCAAGTGAGAATTTGTATTCCAGTGACTAACTTGCTTGAATAAATGACTTAATCGCATCTAATTCTGATGTCCTGTCTGTCTGTGCAAGTGATGAACTTGATTAAGTAAATTACTATCAAAACTAACCCTGATGTTCTGTCTGTGTTCTCTAGCTGCCACTGGGGATATGCCAGCGTACCAGCTGCGTTCGCCCACCTCGGGCCTGCCCCAGGGCTTGGTGATGGCTGCGTCCCCAGGCTCCATGTCCATGCACAGCCCCCCGGTGCACACTGAGGAGGTCACACGCAAGAGGGAGGTCCGCCTCATGAAGAACAGGTGAGACAGACGCAGTTTGCGTCCCAAATGGCACCCTATTCCCTTTTATAGTGCACTACATTTGACCAGAGGCCCTGATCAAAAGTAGTACACTATAGGGAGTAGGGTGCCTTTTGGGACGCATCCACAGATTTTACTTCGTAGCTCTGAATTTGGCTAACAACTGCAAAAGGGGAACATATTTTGAAATCATTAATATTCATCTTTCGGTTTCCTCACTTTCCTGTAGATTTTTAAAGCACCCCTTAGATAATTGGTTAGCCAAATAGGTTGAGTGGATGTTATGTGAAGCGTCTGAAGTGTATTTGTTCACTTTTGATTGGTGCTTAGTGCTGGAATTTCTCCCACTGACCATCTCTTTTCCCCTGTCTTCTCTAGGGAGGCTGCACGGGAGTGCCGCAGGAAAAAGAAAGAGTATGTCAAGTGTCTGGAGAACCGCGTGGGCGTGCTGGAAAACCAAAACAAGACCCTCATCGAGGAACTCAGAGCACTAAAGGACATTTACTGCCACAAGAACGAATAGCTCAGTAGCTGTGATCAGCCTTGTGCCAGGAGAGAGAGATCCTACTGAAAAGGCACATATAGTGCCGTTTACAGACTGACTACTCTAAAAGACTGGAACAAAAACTACTTTCACTGTCTTGGTTACTAGTCTACTCCGCTTTTTCAGGCCCAGTCACTTTGATACTGCATCGGAGGTTGGCAGGTGGCCATAGGCTTGTGCTCTCCGGGCTGAAGTCAAGTCCTGCTCCGGCCCAGGGCCCCTGTCTGTCCTCACTCATGCGCTTGCATGTGAATACACAAGTGTCGCCCAGCCGCTTTTGCTATTTGCAGGGAGGCAACCAATGAGAAGCCAGCCTGCAGAGGAAGAGGAAGTACATGTGCTTCCTGAAGGCACACTGCTCACCACCACTGACTCACCACAGTGGAGAAGCAAAATCGAAAGACCTGCGATAGAGCCTCACTATCAGCCAGCAAGTTTGTGCATGCAGACTCACCAACAAGCCAACCTACCTTAGCCTAAGTGCCAGTCTGTTTATGCTATCATGCCAACTCCTTGTTACTTCTTGTCATGTTTAGCTTGACAATGAAAGCAATCGAGTTGGCAAGAGCACAAACAGATCTGGGGCCAGGCTAAACCTACCTATCTTTACTTGTCACTGCTAGCTAGAGTTGTTCTTCTTATATTACTATACTTCTCTGCTCACATTGGCTGTTGTAAACATTCCTTTGTGAAATTAACCCCTTCTTCCAGGACAAAGTGTGACGAGTAAATACACTTTCCGAATCATTTAAGTTTTGGAATTCTGTATTTGGCCATTTGAGTGTCAATTCCAGTTTTCTAATGACTTAAAGGTCCAATGCAACCGTTTTTATCTCAATATCAAATAATTTCTGGGTAACAATGAAATACCTTGCTGTGATTGTTTTCAATTAAAGTGGTCAAAAAGAAACAAAAATTAGCTTCTTAGCAAAGAGCTATTTCGCAAGCAAGAATTTAGCTTGGACTGTCTGGGAGTGGTCTGAGTGGTCTGAGCTGTTATTGGCAGAGAGGTTTGGAACGCTCTTTCTTACTGGTCTATTAACAAATTTACCGCCTGGGGATGTCACCAGGCAGGCTAAAACTGCATCCCACCAAAACAGGCTGAAATTTCAGGCGGTCTTTTCAAACAGCTCTTACACTAAAAGGGCATTATCATCATTTTCACAATTTCACATTATTATTCCAACCTCATAGTTTGGAAATAATTATAAAACACAGGAATATCACGTTTTTGACCGCACTGGGCCTTTAATGTGTTACTTGAATTATTGTGTAAGACCCAGTGTCAAGGATGTGACTAAGCCTTTCACTTGATGTGCTCTTTTCAAACTGCACAGTTCAATAAAAAATATATAAAAAACATGACATAACATGCCCCTGGATGAATTTATATTCAATCATTATATATTTCTAGCCATTTGAGGAATCTTATCTCACCAAGACCATGTTGAAATGACTGCTGCTATGCCACTCTTTCAAAATGGCTACATTTGCCGTTTACTGAATCGCTCACCAATCGTTCTCCACTTTGTCTGTCTTGGAACATTACTGTGCTGTGCCAGTGAACTGTCCACATGTTACAAAAAAATTAAATAACCAGAGAGTACTGATAAGCTAATGTTTGGGTATTTTGACTGTCTTTTTATAAACATTTTATGTGAATTACTTGCTTTAAACAGGTAGGTTTTGTCCCAAATGGCCCCCTATTGCCTTTATAGAGCACTACTTTTGACCAGAGTCTTATGGGCCCTGGTCAAAGTGGTGCACTAAATAGGGAATAGTGTGCCATTTGTGACATAAGAATAGAGTTCATGACTGCTCTGTTTAAAGGGTATTGCCAATGAATGTCCACGAGAGCAGACTTGACTATGATGATGATGATGATGATGATGCAGCTTCAGTTTCTTTCCTCACACCAGTTCTGCTTGCGTGATTTTGCAGCCTCCCGCTTGCTTTGAATTTTGTGATAAACTTTCTTTCCGTTTACATGAATATGTCCTTTGTATGTTGTCATGCCAGTGGTTATACAATTCAGGTGAGATGTCAAATAAGATGAAAAAGAAAATTGATCTCAGTAAATGTTTTTGGATAGAATTGAAGAGTATGTCAAACAGGTTAGCTCTTCAAACCAGTTCAGCTCATGTATTGATCCCTGCTATGTTTGAAAATTGAAAAAAAAAAATATACTATTTCGAATAAAGTTTCCAAACGATCATACCAGAGAATGAATTTACAGTGAAATTATTTGTGAGTCATCCTCATAGTCAGAAAGCTATACACTATACCAGGGTTGCCCAACCCTGTTCCTGGAGAGCTACCCTCCTGTAGGTTTTTGCTCCAACCCCAGGTGTGAATCAGGTGTACTAGATTAGGGTTGGAGCAAAAACCTACAGGACGGTAGCTCTCCAGGAACATGGTTGGGCAGTCCTGCACTATATGGACTGAAGTCTGTACCACACAATGCTTTTGGGCTCACCTATGAAATCAGCCTGGCCTCAAAGACTAGACGTAACATAGTAAACGTAAATCGGAGACTCAAATTATTATCATACACTACATGACCAAAGGTATGTGGACACCTTCTCGTCGAACATCTCATTCCAAAATCATGGGCATTTATATGGAGTTGGTCCCCCATTGGCTGCTATAACATCCTCCATTCTTCTGGGAATGCTTTCCACTAGATGTTGGAACATTGCTGTGGGAACTTAATTCCATTCAGCCACAAGAACATTAGCGAGGTCGGGCACTGATGTTGGGCGACTAGGCCTGGCTCGCAGTCGGTGTTCTAATTCATCCCAAAGGTGTTCGATGGGGTTGAGGTCAGGGCTCTGTGCAGGCCAGTCAAGTTCTTCACGATCTCGACAAACCATTTCTGTATGGCCCTGGCTTTGTGCACGGGGGCATTGTCATGCCTGAACAGGAAAGGGCCTTCCCCAAACTGTTGCCACAAAGTTGGAAGCACAGAATGGTCTAGAATGTCATTGTATTCTGTAGTGCTAAGATTTCCCTTCACTGGAACTAAGGGGCCTAGCCCGAATCATGAAAAACAGCCCCAGACCATTATTCCTCCTCCACCAAACTTTACAGTTGACACTATACATTCGGGCAGGTAGCGTTTTCCTGGCATCCGCCAAACCCAGATTCGTCCATCGGACTGCCAGATGGTGAAGTGTGATTCTTCACTCCAGAGAACACGTTTCCACTGCTCCAGAGTCCAATGGTGGCGAGCTTAACACCACTCCAGCCGACACTTGGCATTGCGCATGGTGAACTTAGGCTTGTGTGCGGTGCTCGGCCATGGAGACCCATTTCATGAAGCTCCCGACAAACAGTTATTGTGCTGACGTTGCCTCCAGATGCAGTTTGGAACTCGGTAGTGAGTGTTGCAACCGAGGACAGATTTTTACGCGCTTCAGCACTCGGCGGTCCCGTTCTGTGAGCTTGTGTGGCCTACCACTTCCAGGCTGAACCGTTGTTGATCCTAGATGTTTCCACTTCACAATAACAGCACTTACAGTTGACCAGGGCTGATCTAGCAGGGGATAAATTTGACGTACTGACTTGTTGAAAAGGTGGCATCCTATGACGGTGCCACGTTGAAAGTCACTGAGCTCTTCAGTAAGGCCTTTCTACTGCAAATGTTTGTCTATGGAGATTGCATGGCTGTGTGCTTGATTTTATACACCTGTCAGCAACGGCTGTGGCTGAAATAGCTGAATCCACTAATTTGAAGGGGTGTCCACATACTTTTGTATACAATGCATTCGGAAAGTATTCAGACCCCTTGACTTTTTCCACATTTTGTTACGTTACAGCCTTATTCTAAAATGGATGAAATAGTTTTTTCCCCCTCATCAATCTACACACAATACCTCATAATGACAAAGCAAAAACTGGTTTCTAGACTACACACAATACCTCATAATGACAAAGCAAAAACTGGTTTCTAGACATTTTTAGAAATGTATTAAAAATAAAAAAACTGGTATCACATTTACATAAGTATTCAGACCCTTTACTCAGCACATTGTTGAATTTCCACCTCAGGACAAGGCGCCATCAAGCGGTCAGTAATGTAGTAATACACTGGTCTAATCCTGAAGCCTCTCCCTTCACTAATAGTTAATGAACACTGACATCTTGTGGACAGAGGCTACATTAGAAATCTAAACGTATTTAGTTGAGCCAAAATCTAATCAAATCAAATGTATTTATAAAGCACTTTTTACATCTGCAGATGTCACAAGGTGCTTATATGGAAACCAAGCCTAAAACCCCAAACAGCAAGCAATGCAGATGTAGAAGCACGGTGACTAGGAAAAACTCCCTAGAAGGCAGGAACCTAGGAAGAAACCTAGAGTGGAACCATGCTCTTCTGGCTGTGCCGGGTGGAGATTATAAGAGTACATGGCCATTAAGGCCAGATCGTTCTTCAAGATGTTCATAGATGACCTGCAGGGTCAAATAATAATCACAGTGGTTGTAGAGGGTGCAACAGGTCAGCACCTCAGGAGTAAATGTCAGTTGGCTTTTCATAGCCAAGTATTCAGAGGTCAAGACAGCAGGTACGGTAGAGGGAGAGAGAGTGAGAGGGCCGTAAAAAGAGCTCTATAACGTACATAACAATATCAAACATCTTTGGTTGAGCTACAGTATGTCACCATTGAAAACAGATATTGTATTTGTTTGCATCTAGAATAGCATTCTGTCTGTACATGAGGAGTGAACACCTGCACTTCTCTATCATGTTCAAACTTTTTAATTAATTGTTTAAAGTTACTTTTGTCTAATAGTTTATCTGTGCGTGTTCCTGAGCTTTAATTACTACCAGTACGCTTGTGATCTACCAGACAGTTTTCTGTGGCACCAATGCTCACCTCACCGTTCCACTCCGGACTGTTGTCCTCATGGGTGTTTGCTTCATGTTTAGTCTCCGTACTCCTGCTATTGTATTCTAAAGTATATGTGACATATATGGTCCTCTGTAGCTCAATTGGTAGAGCATGGCGCTTGTAACGCCAGGGTAGTGGGTTCGATCCCCGGGACCACCCATACAAAAATGTATGCACACATGACTGTAAGTCGCTTTGGATAAAAGTGTCTGCTAAATGGCATATTATTATTATAAAGCCTCATCTGATCTTTTCAAAGCACCCCCAATTCACCCCAGGAATCTGTAAACCTTTGTGAGAATGTTATCTGTCATGTCTTTGTTTGGAATGATGTGAACATCTCTGTCTGTCTGTCTGTCTGGCATTAACAGTTAAGATTTACATTTACATTTAAGTCATTTAGCAGACGCTCTTATCCAGAGCGACTTACAAATTGGTGGCCTCCAGCCTGGCAGCAGGCCTCTTACAGTAGGCTAGTGGTTAATTTCCACTGAAGATTTACCCTAGTGTTTTACCCAAAAGGCTAAGACTTTTCTGTTTCCATCTACCCGTGTCTCACTGTGCCATGGCTCCGGCAGACCTGCTCTGACTTGCCAAGACCCTGGGTACTTTTACGCCTGCATTTACATAACAATGGCTAACTGTGAACTTTAACACCTCACAAAGCAACAGTCTTGAATGAT